AAAGACAGAAATTCGAAACTAATTATACCAAATCAACCAAACGAAGTCTACCTACTGATTTTGAAAAAAACAAAACAAAAAATCTATACCAAACTAAATAATTCTGAAAGATCAAATTAGCATTACAACCTTTTTGCTATTGTGAAGTAAGAACTGAAATTCAACTTGAATTTAAAGCTGTGCAAAGACTATAATAAAATATGAAAAAGTAATTATAAGTTAAAAAAAAGTCCATATTTAGGACAAAAAAAAAAAAAAAGCATTGCTTAAAGACTTCAAACCGATTTGAGTCACCAAGTTAACCATTTGAGAGACACTCAATTTATTTCAGCAAATCACATTTAGGAAGAGCTGATTTTTATAGAAAGAGGTACCTGTGCTCTTTTGGTTATCATGAAAATAAAATACAAAAAAAAAACCATTATTTAAGATAGGAGGAGTGAATCGACCAAATAAGGAAGTTTTGATAAAATAGACCTTGAAGAACTTTCTTCTTACCCAGGGTGATGGGAAAACTTCCTAGTGATGTATATATGTTGGTTTTACTGATATCACGAAAGTCCAAAATAGTAAGAGTTTTATCTCAAGGTTTCTTTTTTTAAATCTGTTATATCGTTTTCCTCACCAAAACTTATTCAAATATTTTCTTATCTCAATTAAATATATTGATACTTATTTTATGTTTTATTTGACCTTTTTACAATATTTTACTTACTTACGTACTCTATTCGTCAAAGTGACAGTCATTGGCAGTGCTCCTCTAATTCACGACACCTAACTTTACAGCATCTCTTGCCCCCTCATCCTCCTCCGTCTTCTTTTTCTCTTTTTTTTTTTTTGATGTCATTGTTAGCATCTTCTTCTGAACCCTCTCTTCATTCATTCTGGCAACATGACCTGACCATCGCAGCCTACCTGCTTTTGTATAATTAACTACATCTTGTTTTTTCCAAAATGGCCGCAATGTCTGCTCTTGATCCTCCATTTTTATCAATCTGTACAGCCCCTTATAACCATTCATATAATTTGCCTTTCAAAAATTCTCAGTTTTTTAGAGCCTGTCGATGGTAGGCACCAAGTTTCCGACCCGTAGGTGACAACCGGCTTTATCAGAGCATTATACAATATGTAATGCAATCATGCCTGAAATGCCATTTAAGTAGTGTTGCCCAAAACTGGAATTGGTCTAGCACTATGACCAAGACCTTAAGACCAAGGCCGCCGAACTGTAAAACCATGATTGGTAAAAAAAAATCGAATTTTTGAATAAAAATTAAGGGAAAATAGTTATTAATATTTGACAAATTTAATTACTGTTAGTAGAGAATTGGTATAACCAATATACTTTTGCATTTAACTGCAAGACCGTCACGAGACTCTTGCGCAAGACCAATATCATGACCAGGACTGAGTTTGCAAGACCAAGACTCGCCTTGGTCTCGCATTTGGGCAATTCTACATTCAGGATATTATTAAAATTCCGAATAAAAAATGTAGCAATATATTAGCTGATTGTAACATACATGACAGGTGCGAATGAAGATATATAGAGGGGAAAATGATGGAAAGGAATTTGATTTCATATTCAGAATATTTTAAAAAAAAAATTTGGTTACTAAAATGAGTTAGGTAAATTGTACAGAGGATTAACTGCATACGATTTACAATAAAGATGCTTCATAGTCTCAAAAATGTTTCACACATAATAAAATATCCCAAGACATCTATATGGATCAGTCAAGTCTTTTTGAGAACTTACTTAATGTTCTTGATTCATGACTTCAAATTCTAATAATAAATTATTGGTTCAATAGTTGTGGTTCATTCTTTAGAAATGGACTACTGGCCGCTCAATTATCTGAGGCATATTTTTATTGCTGTTATAAAATTTGAATTAGTAATATTCTTAAAATTAGATATAGTGCGACCACATATTAAGGCTAAACGGAGGAAGAGAGGGGCAATAAAAATTTAGTGGATAGGGGATGGAGAAATAACAGCCGAAGTATACGTAATGTATTACGTAAAAAATAAAAATAAATGTAATATAAATTTAACAACAAAATAGGAACTGTATTTATCCGATATCAGGAACAATTATAATTCATTTTAAAGCAAGAGCTGGGTTTTTATGGTTAGGTTTAAGGTTCTGATCGCATATTAGTTATATACGGACCAGAAGGCTCAGGAATTTTAAGATTATATAGGTAAACTATTGAACAAACAACATAATATGATTTGACAAGTTCGATTATGGCCTTCCACCGTCCGTTTCCAAGACACATGATTGCAGTAAAGTCACAATTGCACTCTATTGCAGCTGAAAATTTTAGATGATATTCTCAAAGGTGTTTGGAATTGTACTTCAAACCGGAGATTGATGAAGCTTTTTTGAACCTTCGACAAGTTTTTCGTGCATAATATTTGAGAACAATAACGCAAATAATTAATTAAATATTAATAAATAGTTAATGGTGACTTATTTCCTTCCATATAAGAGGAAATATCATATATGGTACAGTACAGGCTGCTGCCTTTCACCCCTGATTTTCAACATTTATATAGAACAAGCCCTTAAAAACTGGAAAAGATCGTGCTGTGGAATGGATGTTCAAATCGGGAATGATGTTATCTACAATTTGCAGTATGCCGATGATCAAGTCATAATCGCATCGGATCCGGATGATGTTTGCTATATGATGAGGAAGATGCTAGACACGTATTCCAGATGGGGTCTGAAAATCAGTAAAAGTAAAACAGAGTATATGGTTTTCAACGCTCCAAATTTGCCCCTTGAAATTGATGACTGGACGCTAAATGTTAGCCAGCAGTTCAAGTATCTCGGATACTGGTTATCTTCAAAGGGTGGTAGTGAGGTTGATATCGAACATAAAATAAATAATGAGAAAAGAATAATAAGTTCGATAAATTCAACCCTATGGAGTAAAGAAATAAGATTAGAAACTAAAAAGAAGATATACCATTCCTTTGTAGAAAGCGTAGCCACTTACGGATCAGAAGTCTGGACACTGACAAAAAAGATGGAAAATAAGTTGCTTTCCATGGAAATGGATTTCTGGAGAAGAAGCTGTGGCATATCCAGAATCGAGCGGATCCCAAACGCAGCTATTAGAGACAAGGTCGGATGTCAAAAGAACATCCTTCACCTGATCGGAACCAAACGGTTAAAGTGATATGGCCACTTAATGCGGATGGATGAGAACCGCTGGCCAAAGAAAATTTATAACTATATGCCACCTGAAAGAAGGAAGCGTGGAAGGCCAAAGAAGAAATGGATAGAGGACTTGGAGGAAAGCATGGCAGCCAGAGGGCTTCGTGAAGGAGATTGGATGGACAGGGAGCAGTTGCTTTTGGGTGTTGGGGATATGACTCCTTAAGTTGTATAAAACCCAAATAAAAAAAAAAAATAAATAAGAGGAAATATCCACAAAATTTCAATTTGTCACTAATGAAAATAGGAATCATGAATGAAAGTATTGAAAATTTTCGGATGGGCTATTTCACTTTTGAGTATTTTTTTCTGCTTTTGCCCGACTCAGCATTATCTAAACATGAATCTGCAAGATCAACCTTAACGGAATCAGTTCATCATTAACACCACATTCTCAAACAATTCGGCGTTTTATAGCCGTCTCAATTATAAGGTTGATTCATACTTCTTCGGTCAATATATTTTAAGCAATACTTTATTTTTAAAATAAGTGTTCTCGTAAGCGTCCACGTTTCGCATCCTTTTAGAATATAATAAAGAATAGTAGTTTTGCAAAATCCCAGTTTTTAAAGTTCGGACAGAAGGCGCGAGCTAAGCAGTTCTTCTTCTGAAAATTAATAAAAATTTCTAGTCTTTAACCTTTACATAATTTTCTCTTAGGTTTTTTTTCTACTAATTACCGCAGATCATAAGGATCTAAAATCCTCTACGTTTTAAAACTTATTCCCTTCTTTAAAAGGACATATAGTATATTAATGTAAAGAAAAAAAAAACATATATATCTCCAAAATCGTCCTTTTTTTTTGCATGTAACTATACCTTTTATCTTATTTTAGTTTTTTACTGGCGGTCATCAACATTGTTAATATTCCAAGAAGCTCTTTTTTTTCCGTGTTTGGATCTGTGAGATCTTTGAAGTGGTTGTTAAGTGTAATTTTGTTTATTTTTATGGATTTTACTAGAAAACTAATTTTTCTCTCTTTCTTGGTGTCTAGTGGGCTTATTTATGCGGCTATTATAGAGATGGATATTCCTTTGTGAATAATGGATTGAAACTTGAAAATTAAACTTGCAACTGAGAAAATTTCAAACTTTCAATTGCGCTTATTAAAAAAATATGATTTTCGCACTCATCACAGGTGCCACAGATATAAATTAACTCCTAAATCACTATGATGCATGAACTAAGATCTTTCAAGATTTCTACTAACTTTGCTTAAAGTCGAAATAATTACGAACGATTATAGGAATTCGTACTTAATTTCCAAATTCGCCTTAGTCATTTATGTCTTGATTAAATCATATAGGTTCATCTGAAGTTCGTTTAACTGTACTGAAAAAAATCGTATGAATATGTGTATGAGAAAAAAATATATATCAATCTACTTTGTCAGTCCAATCTTTCTGTATGTTAATGTGGCAGGGATAAAACCATTTTGCATATGTTTTTTATTAAAGAAATCAATTTGAGGTTATGTTTTCCATCTGAATAACGAAGTGCAAAAAAATTGAATACAACAAACTTTTTAAAGTCACAACCTAACAAGAGATAATATCAGCCATTGTATGATGGAATAATATGCCTCGGAAACAATAATGTGAACAAATCTGTAGGATCAATGATAATTAATATAACCCAACCAATGTTTTTTTTTTTTCATAACTGATCGGTAATAAATGTTTCATTAATATATTAATGTCAATTTCTGTAAGCAATGCCAAGGTGTATATAAGGAGGCTTATGCCGTTGTCGGACATAATCAAGTGAAGAAGACATAATGAAGTTAGCTATATTATTGATGGTAGTATTTGCTTCTGCTTTGGCAGCTGAGAAGTACACAACTAAGTATGACAACATCGACTTAGATGAGATCCTCAACAACGACAGGCTATACGAGAAGTACTTCAAATGTATCATGGGCAAAGGGAAGTGTACTCCGGACGGCAAAGAGCTAAAAAGTAAGTCCATATTATGCTTGTCATTCGGATGCAACAAAATCTTCTTCTTTGATGCCAGTTTAAGAGGGCTGTAAAAATGAGAGAAAGTAATAATTCGAATACATAGGTTTAGTTCTTCGATTTATAGTGAATAAAATGTTATTTGTTTCATGTCAACTTAAATTGAATCCTGCCTGAATAGCAATAATGGATTTCTTACTAATCGATTTACGAAATGAAATTTATGAATGGCACAAAAACAATGACTTTGACTAATTTATTTTTAATACAATAATTAAACCTCAAAAAACATGTTTTTGAACGCTCTCTAGGTATTTTTTATTTATTTAGTGAACTCGTAAATATTTTTTCGCCCGAACTCGTAACTATTTTTATAAAGTTATTTCATGTATCAGGTTGCCGGGCAACGGCGGTGCAGTGTACACACGTTAGCCCATTCGGCCACTCCGCCCCCATATGTATCCGCACCTGTCATGGTATTCACAGTAAGCAGATGTGATATGATAAATATGCCTATAGACATTATAGGTTTGAAGAAGGACAACACCCAGCAGTACCTCTTCCTGGTCATTATTTACTTACATGATTGAGGTGAGGAGATCTCTCATCCAGCTCCTATTTAGTCACCTCTTGATAGGGATGTTAGCCATGTTGGCCATGTCGTTTATAAGTCTGTGTAGTTTGGGATGAAAGTACGTATGTGTTGGCCTATCGTTGGTCGTCGTAAGTCGTAACGTAAATTTTTGTAATTGACGTACCAGGGAGCTCCTGTTATAAGTCGTAAAATGTTGGATTGAAATGACGGTAGTTTTTGTAAGTTCGTCTTTTTTGCCGTAAATAGTAAACCGCAAATCTGCGAGGCCTATGTACAGATGCTTTTGAGTAAGTAAGTGCATGTATATAGTTTTTCTCAAACTTTCAATTTCGAATTAGAAAAAATGATTTTCTATGTAGAAAATAGTACAGTATTTTCAGTCGCTTGTTTGAAGTCTGTCGTTTCAATTTGAGGTGTGGGCCTGTATTTGTCAGAGGAATTTGGCTCTCTTCTATATAAACTGGTGGACACATTTCTCGTCCAAGTGTAAATGTTATGTGTTGTAACTCGTCATGATTTAATCTTATTTTCAAAAGTGAGTACCAATTTTTTAGAGTCAGTAAGTGATTTTGTAAATTCATTGAAACTAGTCTGGGGTTATGGTGTTTTGTTAAAATTGTTTTATCATCAGTGTAGGTGGCGTTCAAATTTTCGGAGTTGATAGTTATGTCATGAGTATATATAAATGTAGAGGAAAGGAACCAGTATTGATCCTTGAGGTACTCCTGCCATCACTGGTCGAATTGAGGAAATTTCTAGGCCCTTTCGGACAGAGAAAAATCTGTCGAAAAGAAAAAAATTAGAGAATGAGGTAGTAGAGTTTTGAGTTTAAAGATAAGTCCCTGGTGCCAGACTGTATCGAATGCTTGGGAAATATGCATTATATTTTTTGCAGTTATGAATAAAAGCTAAGCTACATAAAATAATTCCTTTATATTTTTCACACCATTATTTCTATACAATAGACATTTCTATCTTTGGTTTGGCTTTAATACTTGTTAATGCAAGTCATATTTTGGCAATATACTGTTTCGGATCCTCCAGGCATTGGTATGTTGGACAGTATCCTCTCTTAGCTAGACACATTATGAGTAGAAATTTATTTGTTATTCCATGTGAGTCCATGGTCGAGATGAAATTTTAAAACCACTAATCATGGAGCTATTGATTTTTTTTAATATGATTTTTATTTTATTAATTATTTTAATGTATTATTTTAATTTTTGTTCACCACTACCTTCGCTTTTAGGCTATACGGATATTTTCCCAGATCAGGAATGTGGATGGAGGATTATTTCCGGACTTTAAAGGCTTATCTTAAGGATTAATTCGTTTTCATGGTTAAATTTAAATTTAGATCATCTAATTCTATTTACCTCACTTGTCCTGTAACACTTGTTGACAAAATTATCAATTTTTCACTTTGACAATTAGCAACTTACATTTTTTAATGGTTTTGTAAATTTGAGCTATGATGCTATAATAAAACAAACGGGATCTATGGTTATCACAAAATAAACTGAGCTCCATAACTCCTACTTACTATTTGTTTGTTTTATTTCCTTCAAATTGAAAAAAAAAAAATTTCCCGTGCTTAATAGTTTTATTTTGTATAGTTAGTAGATTAGCCTGAGTGTTAGCAAGCTGCAGGAGATTTCATGTTCTCCAGTTAATGCCTGTTGCCGTTACAAGTGACTCATAATTTGCAATTCTATTTTTCTAACCATTATTTATCCAAGAAGGTATATTTTATAATAATAATAATAATAATAATAATTCTTGTTTGCTATTCAAGAACAGGTAATAGCCACAAAAGCATACAGAAAACATATAAGTGGAGAGGGCATCGATGACTTATGTCGCTTATGCAAAAAGGCAGTTGAATCAATTCAACATGTAACATCGGGATGCACAATACTTGCGGGTAAGGAATACTTGCAGAGACACAACAATGCAGCTAAGGTAGTGCATCAAGCTATGGCTCAGAAAATGGAACTCGTCGATAAGTATTGTCCATATTATAAATATCATCCAGAACCAATTAACTCCATGCGCAATGTCAAGGTGTTCTGGGATCAACCGATCCTGACGGATCATAACATCCCCCACAATAGACCAGACATTCTTATAATAGATACAGGTAAGCAATCTGCGTTTATCATAGAGATTGGAGTTCCTTCTGATGATAACCTACACAAGTTATTAGCGGAAAAAAAGAGAAAGTACGTAGAATTGGCTGAAGAGATCAAACAATTATATCATTTAAAGGAAACCCGAATTCTGCCAATTGTAATCTCGTGCAACGGACTGATACCGGAAGAAACTTTATCTTCTCTGCAACAACTAGAACTACCATCTCAGACGATCGAAAGAATGCAACAAGCGGTGTTGTTGGGAACAGCAAATATAGTCAGGAAGTTCACAAATATTAAATAATTATGAAAATATACAAATGTAATTTTTGGCTGACCTAATAGGTCCCCAACTATTACATATAAACACCATTGTATATGTGGAAAATAAAGAGATAATAAAAGGCTTACCGAACCCGAAGGTTCGATGCCAACACCACCAATCGCTTATTACACACCTCCAATCCCTTTAGATCGGCTTTAATGCAATCTTCCGACCTTCGCTTCTACCCCTCGGACGCTTACCATTTGGCACAGCAAATATTAACCTTTTAGGAATTCTCTCGTTACTAAGCCCAACAACTTTACAAGCCCATTTGATTCGCCAAGATGAAATTACCTCAATTATATCACGAAATTCGGCGTTGTGTAACCGTCTGAACTCTCCGGTTAACTCATCCTTCTTCGGTCCGTATATTCTACGGAACATTATATTTATTACGGAATTATATATTATATATATATATATATATATATATATATATATATATATATTATATATTATATTTATTACGGAATATTATATTTTATATACCTTAATATTTTTGACGATTAAAATCGAGTTTCATCAAGGATTCAGTTTTTGTTATTGATTAGAGATGTATGTAGATAGTTTAATCTTAATTGAACTTCAAATATCTATTTCCCTCACATGACGAAAAGTACTACAAATTGAATATCGAAATGAGAAACTTGCCAACTATTTTTTTAAAATGAATGAATTTCTTTCCAAATTAGTACTACAGCCTTATTTTAACTAGCCATTTAAAAAAAAAATGAACATTTAAAATATTATTGTTTGAATTAGGTAATTGTTAAAGATCATTCTATTTCAATATGAGATAATTCCATTTTAATATAAGATCATTCAATTATTTTATACTAGAATATAGGTAGGCAGAAACTAGAATTTTACAGATATGGAAAAAAAATTTTAACTTCTGAAATACTAGGTTATCAAATGAAATCTACACTAATACTAAAGCATGAATTTAAAAAAAAAAAATTATTTATAGTATTTACAACTGTATTAAAAACAGAAATACAATCAGTAAATTTGAACACATGAGTGTAATAACATGAAAACGCCAAGTGTGAAATGAAATCTAAAACAGGTTTTTGGATTTTCGTTGAATTTTTAGAAAACTCTCAATATAATCTCATCTTTTAGTTTCTCGGTTAACACATCTAGAAGTTATGTACCCTACCAATGAGTGTGTTATAGGTTTTTTCATATCGAAGTATTTTTTAGTATTTCTTTACCTGCATTTGCAGAGCACAGATACAATTTTATCGTTTTTGAAGTGAAAACGTATTTTGAACTTTTTTGTGGAGAATGAATTAGATTGATCCGTCAGATTTTGTTCGGTATTAACGCGCATGTAAAGTCTGCTAGAGTCGACTAATTAAAATATTTTTTCATATGGATTAAATTATGTCAGAAATTATAAATCGGACCTGCATACTGCAAGCGAGGAAATCGTTCAGGATTCCATCTTCTCTGTAATATCCTATAACTCAAAATTGCATCTTAACGCTACGACGTGTTGGGGAGGCGAAAAGGAAAAAGATAGTGTCAAAACCAAATGATAACTAGCTTAGTTGAACACATGGATTAAAATATTTCAGATACTAAATATTGAACCTGTATACTGTAGACAAGGAAAATGTTCAGAATTCCATCATGATTAATGAACTATCACTAAAAATTGTGTCCTAACCCAATATCCTGTTGGAGAGGGAATAATAAAATGTCCATAACCAAACGCTAATATATCGTATAAATACTAATATTATTACAATACTGAAGTTTTATTTTTATAACATTATTAACAATATATAAAAAGAAAGAAGATAAACAATAATAATAGCAGAAATTCTTAGGCATAATGGAAAATATATAATAATATAACATTACATATCCTTACAACAGGAGACTGCCACATAAATATTATACAGTCATTAGATACAACATAAACTAGTAAGTATCACTAATTTAAATGATTAAATTATTAATTAATGAGGCCATTTTTAGATTGACCTTCCTTTGATGTTTATATTTCATGTAATCAACTTTTTTGTACTATATTTTAATTTCGTACTTTTTGTTACACTAAAGGGACTTTGTCCCAGAATAAAATTATTTTCTATTTTATTCTATTCAAACTTTGTTATTAATAATTAAAAATTTCTTACTAAATGAAATTAAACTAATTAATTCTAACTACAATACATCTAGAATACATGGATTAGTAAAGTTACGTAAAGTGGCGCTCCACTTATCATCAGTAATGGGGAAACCGACAAATTTGGCTAAATACCTCAATCATACTCAATAACCTAAAATCAGATAATAACTTTGATGTAAAAAACTCAATGGAGGGGAAGCAAATACTTGAAAGAATAAATAAAATATACAATAGGTAAATATGGAAGATAATATTTCATATTATTAATATTGCCTTGTTGATTCTATCGTGTCATCTAGAACACCAACAACAGTTTTTTTTCTGTTTTTTTTTTTTTTTAATTTTTGCTTTTCTTACAGATGATATGCCAGACGCAATTAAAACAGATTGCTCGAAATGCTCAGATAAGCAGAAGGAAGGCACAGATAAAGTTCTCAAGTTCATGCTTGCAAATAAGAAAGCAGATTACGCTGTGCTGGAGAAGACCTATGATCCTGCGGGAACATATAGAAAGAAGTATGAGTAAATTCTTTTTTTTTTTAAGAAGAAATTATATAAATGTTTGGATAAATGTCTTTTTAATTGAATTACATTACAAATGTATACATTAGTCAATTAAATACACGTATTATATTATATTAAGTGAATATTTGTAACAAATAATAAAATGTTTCCTCATTGAAAACCTTGTAGTTTATTTGCTATCCTTTCTTACTGTCACTGTTTGGTTCTGCATTACAAAAATGAAATTAGCAAACGTCATAACTTTTTTTTTTTTGCACAGACCCTGCATACTAATATTTTCAATGATACATAACTTATGTAATACAGAAATAATTACAGACTAACAGACTTAGTAAAACAAGAACAATTTAACGAACTACATAGCCTAATAAAAAACAAAACAATCTTCCTATAAAGAAGACTGGAGTTCTGCGCATGCGTTAACCTTACCCATACACTCTTCATTTCGTCTCTTATAAAGTGACTTTATTATCAGTGAAATAATTCATGTTATATGTGAAAAAGTAGTGTAAACTGTTAAGTTAACAATTAAGTTGAAACTGGACATAAATAAGGTGAGTAATCACTTATTTATAACGGCATTGTGAACGGTGTAAATAGACCTGAGGTTAGTGATAGATAACAAACCGGCGATATACATTCGCTAATCCGACCAGTGGGCTGCTGCCCTTCGGCGGAAGTAGATCTACGTTATCTAGACTTCTACAAACTCGCGTAATATATACGTAATTGATAAAGGACATTTTTTTTTTTGCAAATTATTACATTTATCTCAAATTAAATTAATATCTCGCATGTCGAGCAAAGGTAACAATCTAACTTTAAGATCTAGGAGTCTCGATACCACAAAGAGTTCACCCATCAAGTGGGGTGTATAGTGGGAATATAGTGAATATATTCAAGGAAGATAGAGAACAGCCTGGCACAAAAAATAAAATACCGCTCCCACTATTCTTCGTTGACCTCGACCGAACGCCCCAGGTTGAAGACATTTATAAGGTAACACGCCTTTATTACACTAGCGTTGTTGTAGAGAAGCCCTACGCTAAGCGCGACATTGTACAATGCCATAACTGCCAGGCTTATGGTCATACGAAACGCTATTGCCACCACATTCCTAGATGTGTCAGGTGCGGTGATCAACATAAAACAGAGGACTGCCAGAAGTCCATAAGAACACCAGCAGTATGCGCTTTATGCCATCAAGGGCACCCAGCGAACTACAAGGGTTGCCAAACATATAAGGAACTGAAAGCAAGAATTTATGCAGCTCAAAGAGAAGAACGGCCATCCAGGCCACCAAGACAACCCTCTAGAACTGTAAATACAAGAGTGTCCTATCCACCCCTAATCAATATTCAAAGGAGACACTGCACCCACACAAACTCAGGCCCTGCCACAAGAATCTCAACCTCGAGTATTCACATCTCAACCTCAAGACCCTTATCCCATTTCTGAACCTAGGCCTAATAACCAGGCATTCATACATCCTCCTCCCAATGCCACTGACCTCACAAGCCTATTGACTTCTTTCCTCAGTCAGGTCACTCATTACTCCTCTCATTTCCTTATTTACCATTGTTGTATCCAACCTCATCCCACTGCCGAGAAATCCTTAAATGTCCCCAATCAAATCCCTCTCCGTTCTCCTTTGGAATGCAAATGGTATTCGAAATCACATCAACGAACTAACAATCCTATTACTGGACCAAAACATTGATATAGCATTAATAACTGAAACTCGACTTACCAACAAACGACCACTTAACATCCCCAACTATCGTATCTATCGATCCGACCATCCTAATGGAACAGCACATGCTGACACTGCCATAATTATCCATCAATCCCTTTCCCATCATCTATTCCCTTTGCCAATCCATAATTTCCTACAATCCACTGCCGTGATAATCCAAACTTCCCTTTACCCAATTCACAATCCCTTTACACAATCCCTTTACCTTAGTAGTCGCAGCATACTCCCCGCCTAAAATACCTATCTCAGAATCCCAATTAACATCCTTCCTTAACTCCTTAGGGCACCATTTCCTTCTAGGTGCAGACTTAAATGCTAAACACCAGCAATGGGGAGCCAGAACCACAAATTCCCGAGGACGAACATTGCTATCTGCACTTAATTCCCATCGCAGCAACATCCTGTCACCCAATTCTCCCACATACTGGCCGCAGATCCTAACGGCAATCCCGATCTCCTAGATTTTTTCATCCACAAAGGTCTAGGGTCCCTTAATTATTGCATCTCATGATTTGATGATCTTTCCTCAGACCATAGTCCCCTAATCCTAACGGTTTCCACATCACCAATTCCCGAACCACCTCCACCTTCATTTTTTCAGGGGGCCAGTTAATTGGAACCTCTTCCGTCAAATACTGGATAATAATATTGACCTCAGAGTTTCCCTAAAAACACCTACAGACCTAGATAAAGCAGTATATTCCATGACTACCTTGATCCAACAAGCAGTTTGGACTGCATCTTCACCTTATGCTTCTAAAAAATACCGCAAAACAAATCCTCTACCCCAAGACCTACTGGACCTTATTAATAGAAAACGATGCTCTAGGACCATCTGGCAAAGAACCAGGCATCCTGATGATCGGAAATCATATAACTATTATTCCAAGCAAGTAAAACAAAAACTGGCTACGGTTAGATCCCAATCCTATAATTCCTATCTTTCCTCACTATCTGCAATTGATGACTCCCTCAGGAATGCAACTAAAAAAATCCTGAAATTCCAATTCATTTCCCACCCCCTCCGGCGTGATGATGGTTCCTGGGCTACGTCAGATGAGAATAGAGCAGAAGAGTTTGCTAAACATTTATCGTACACATTCACTCCTCATCCTGAACTCCATCCCTCCCATGCTAAGTTAAAGAATTCCTTTCTTTACCGATTCCTCTCTCCTTACCTCCTACAGCCGTCAACCCCTCTGAGGTCAAATTCCTTTTAAAGAACCTAAAACCTCGCAAATTTCCAGGACACGATCTCCTTACTTCCCAGATCCTCAGACAACTTCCCAAAAAAGCAATTATATTCCTTACATACCTATTCAACTGTATCCTCCGCACAACCCACTTTCCTCTGATGTGAAAACACTCCATAATTATCCTCTTTCCCAAACCAGGTAAACCTGTTAATTATACATCATCCTATAGACCGATAAGCCTACTTCCGACCCTTTCCAAAATCTTTGAGAAAATCTTTCTTAAACGCATCCTACCCATACTCAAATCCCACAATATCCCTCCCCATCAATTTGGATTCTGCTCAAGACACTCTACTGTCCAACAAGGCCTTCGCGTTGTGGACCACATATCCTCTGCACTTGAAATCAAGCAATATTACACTGGTGCCTTTCTGGACGTAGCTCAAGCTTTCGACCGGGTGTGGCACTATGGCTTGCTTTTCAAGCTCAAAACCCATTTACCTCAACCCTTGTAACTAGTCCTCAAATCCTACCTTTCAAATCGCTCCTTTCAAGTCCGCTGTGGCACTGAACTCTCCAAACATTTTCCAATTGAGGCTGGTGTTCCACAAGGCAGTGTCTTGGGCCCAGTTCTCTACATCCTTTTCACCGCTGATATCCCTTCAAGTCCTGATACCTTCCTAGCAACATTTGCTGATGATATTGCCATCCTATCCTCTTACTCGGATCCTTTAATAGCGTCCCGGAACCTGCAAAGACACCTCTCCTTCATTGAGCAGTGGTGCAACAACTGGTGCATCAAAATTAATGAATCAAAATGCAAACATGTAACTTTCACTCTTCGACGCAGATCCTTGATTGATCCGCCAATCCTTTTTAATTCAATTCCTCTTGAGTACTCAGACACAGTCCGATACCTTGTCTTCCTTCTGGACAAAAGAATGACTTAGAACCCACATACGAGACTTAAAAGACAAGAGCTTAACCGACGATTTGGTCAGCTATATAAACTACTAAACAGAACATCTCATCTCTCAAAAGAAAATAAATTATTAATCTACAAGACCATACTGAAACCTATCTGGACCTTCGGACTTGAACTGTGGGGGACAACTAAATCATCGAATATCAAACGCATCCAATCCTTCTGTCGAAAGTCCTTCGAACAATAGTCAATGCTCCATATTATGTCACGAACAAGACCCTACACCATGACCTTAACATCCCATATGTCCATGACATCATCCCATCCAGATTCTCCAACTTTCACCAGAACCTTATTCATCATCCCAATACTTTAGCCCAATCCCTATCGAGCTCCGAGCATCAATACCATCCCCCTCGAAGGTTGAAACTGCAGTGGCCTCGAGATCTTTTGTAAATATGCCTTTGGAGTCCTGGCCTTGACCAGCTTCGCCACTCATGTCCTGAGCGTCTGTGGCTCTAGTGCCCTCTTTCAGTCTCCACTGGCTTCTAATACTAGTGATGCGGCTGAAAAAGTGGCACTGGGATCTTCCGGAGTCTTGCTTTGCCTTCCACGTGTGAGGAAAAAGCCTGGCTCGGAGATTCTTGGGCGAATGTATATATTGTATATAGTTATGATTGTGTTTAGAAGTCTTTATTTTATTTGTTTATTTTTTCTCTCTTTTTATTTAACTTCTTCATCAGTATTATTTATTTACTTGTTATATTTATATTTATTTCTTTATTATTTGTATATATTGTATGAATGAGAACTTTTAGCCCTAATGCTCCAGTAGTGGCTGATTGTATTATTATTCAGTAAACAGATTTAAAAAAAAAAATAACAAAAAAAGCAGACCATCGTAAAGCGAATCTAAAATCCTGCCCTGTGGAGGACAGAAAAACACCTTCATATAATAATAATAATAATAATAATAATAATAAGGCTTAGCGAACCCGAAGGTTCGATGCCGACACCACCAATCGCTTGTTACACACCTCCCTCCACCGTTCGCCGTCCAAACCCAGTCCCTTCAGATCGGCTTTAATGCAATCTTCCCACCTTCGCTTCGGTCTACCCCTCGGACGCTTACCATTCGGCACCGCATATATTAACCTTTTAGGAATTCTCTCGTTACTAAGCCCAACAACTTTACAAGCCCATTTGATTCGCCGCGATGAAATTACCTCAATTATATTACCCGGATACAGCTCACGCAATTCGGCGTTGTGTAACCGTCTG